ATGGTTAGACTCGTAGCCCCTGTTATGGCTATTTACGTTAGCGTGAGAGGGGTCTGCTACGCGTAACTGGGAGGAGTTGCGACTGCTGTTATACATGGGAGCCGTTGTTATGTGATGGGTCGGTACTAAAGGGTGTGAGAAGTTTTCTTTCTGAGAGTAATTACAGTTGCGATCCTGGGGAATGTAGGTAGGGTGTGGAGTGAGAAACCTATTATTACCATTCTTATTAATGGTTTTAGGCTTCAGGGGGTGATTTGGGTGGCCAGTTCTCTGGTAGTTTTCGTTAGTCTGCGTGTAAGAAGGCTTGCTACGTTGAAGCCCACCACCCTTTTTGCAACTTGGAGGTGTTGAAGGCAAGTTATACGATAGCAGCGGGGAGAACCTGTTCACTGTTCTTGGGATACCTATAGAGCAGTTGGGTTCAATCTTACGTGTTTCCCTATTCGGTATCATGAGTTTTGTCTTCCCACCCTTTATTTTCAGAGCTGGAGTCTTTCGTTGTCTCTGTGAGATGAACTTACGTTCATTCAAGTCTACTTGTGGAATATCTTTAGGAGGACAAATTTTCAAGTGTATAGGTTTAGTTGGATGTGTGTTGTTACACGACTCACATTTTAGTACATTACTGAACGAACAGCTGGGATTAGTCATGTCGTTATGGTTTTTGGTGTCAGTTGGGGTCCGTATCTTATCCAAAGGTTTCTGATCTGTAGACTCATCTAGATCAACAGAGTGATCAGCCGTATGTGGAGTGGTGTCATGCTTATTGTTCGTGTGTTTTAAACTATTTGCTGTGTTGCAAACTGTCTCTGGCTGATTATTAACTGTAACACTCCCATTCAATTCTATCGCTTCGCGTCTTCTTACACGACGTTGACAGGGCGTAAGGTCTGGAGTGACTTTTATATTCTTGTATGGAATTAGTGAGCTAATATTTTTGCTCAGATTAATAAACTGCTTAGCATCGTTACAACAGCCAAACATAAACAAAAGGGGGCAAGTCGATCTGTCTGACTTTTTTCTAAGGCGGATGACTTTGCAGTTAACGTTCGGCATACCGCATGCTCTAAGGCAAATATCCCTTAACTTAGATGGGTGTGTGCGGTCGGGGAGGTTGTACACAACTGCATTGAAGGAGGACATCACTCTCGAATTAGAGGGGACTAAACCGTTGTATTGGGTGGCTTGACTTAGATAGTACCTAGAATCAGTAGGTGGGTCCCCAAGTAGGCCAACGTAATGGCTTCCTCGTGTGCGGTGGGCAATTTTAGTCCTATTGTGGTTAGTTGGGGAGGTTGTATGTTTCTGGTAAGGAATGCCTGTTATTGTTGCCAGGAGAGGTGCTTCTGTTGTGTATAGTTTTGTGTTGGTTCATGGGGCTTACAAGGTTGACACCATATGACTTATGGGTATCACATGTGGGTGTGGTTCTTGTCGAGTGTCGTTTCACATTAGGATGAGTGGGTGTTGCCAGTTCACTATGTTTGTTGTAGGGCATTCTATTACTATGAGAAGGTGCATGTTTTGGGTTAGGGGTGCTGGAGTATTGGTGGGTTTTTACGGAGAGTTTGGTGTTATTTCGTACAGCGGTGTCTGAGAGTCTGTAGCTGTTAGCGCAATTCCTGGGAGGATCATTTTTAGGCATTTTATAGGGGCCGCTAGGGTAATACTTGGACGCTATTGAGGCATAAGTGGTTTGGCATTTTGGGGTAGCTGAGTGTCTGGGCTGAGGGTGAGTGGTTGTAGCTGCTTTATGTGCGGTCTTGTCCTTAGGACTAATAGCAGTGTCCGACGTGTCTCCGTTTTTTGGGGGGGGGCAGTGTATGATATTTTAGGGTTTGTGCAGTGACAAGAGCTGTAGCTGCCGCGGCTACGTAAGCTGGGTTGATCAGTTTGTGTTCCATTGCAGATTCGACGCTGGATAGCGGTCCTGTCATGAATGATCCTAATCTTTTTAAATGTTGGAATACGCCTCAGTAATGACTGACTATTGAGGAGGTGATTAGCTTCAGTGGTACTACCAAAGTGAAATAGAATGGGACAGGAGGCTTTAGTGTGTGCTTTACGTAATCTTCTTGTTACACACCAAGATTGCGACAATCCACATTCTTGTAGTAGAGTATTTTTAGCAATCTTTATGTTCGTACTATCAGGTATATTATACACGATGACATTCTGCATACACTGAAGTCTTTTCAACAATTCAGTTGATATATGGTCGATTACTTTTTCAGTGTTTTTTATAATTTCCAGATCGGGATTTCCTGGAACACTGATTAAATATTTGTACGGTAATAGGTCTTGAATAGTTTGGGTGAGGCTGAGTTCCGTTTGGTTGCTTTTAGGTCTACCAGTGGTGAGATTATTGGAGTTTATATCAAAGTTTTTAAGGTCGATATGGTTACATACAGGTTTGTTGCAGGTGTCTAGCGGATGGTCACTTTGTGCACACTTAGTTGGGGGATGGGGTATATGTCTGGGTGAGTAGTCAAGATCTACATCATCGGGCTGTCTGTTGTAGGCAGGCTTACATGTACTCCGTGGGCCGCTACTCAGGATGGCCGATTGTGAGATTGCTGGGTGTTTGGGATCAACAGCACTGTCTAAATACTGCTCACAACATGTGATGCTTTTGTTTGGACTGACAAATGATGTCGACTCTAACGGTATGTGACTGCTTTTATTTATATCGACAAGCGAGATGCAAGGTAGTGATATGTCTTGTCCAAGTAAACAGTGCACGTTTAGTGTGGCTGAGGAAAGATCAGAGTAGGATGCAGTCTGATCAGTGTGTTTATAAGGTTTCACATTATTCGCTTTAGTGACTGATTTAGATCTTTTGCAGGTGCTATAGGCATCAGGAGAGATTATATGTTTTTTAGATGGCCTGGACATTATCGGAAGTAATGTAAATACAAAGTTTAATTAGGTGGATGGCGATAGTTGTAATTTATCTTTGTGAACGTGTAAAGTTTTATGGTAGGATCAGACCCAGTATTAGTTAAGAGTAAATATATTAACGTTAATTGGTGATAGAGATAGCGTGAAAATTAGCAAGATTAATTTATGACGTTGAGTTCCTAAATAAGGTGTCAAGTTGATAGAACTCTAGCAGTGACGAATTATTTATCGCTATTAAGTGTTAAATTAAAGAGAAAGACTAATAGGAAAATAAAATAATACCACGTGAAAAAAAGTTACAACCTTCAAAAGCGGCTCATTTGGAAGACGTGTAGTAGTGCATCGGTTTATAACCTTATCTAGAATGTTGTGTCGTATATATGTCTTTTCACTATGACATTGTATTCGCATGGACACTTGTAGTGGCGCTGTTTCCCAACCACATGGTCTTCGAAGCCATTAACTATAGTATTCTATCCTCAGCACATGCGCGTTATTCAGAGGTACTAAGTATCACCGTTAACTGTCACGATACGATGGGTCAGTTTGGACGATGAATCGATTTCCATTTAAGATCTTACAAATCAGGAAATCACATGACAACTGTACCTTTGTCGGATTAGATCTATAACCAAAGTAGTATTAGTACCAAACTAGACTATAATCACACATACCAACAAGATTTATAATGCAAAAGACTGTAAAGTTGTTATATTTATATTTAAATAATTTATTAGATGAATAAATGTGGCAGTAGTCAATATAAAACACAGTTATCGTCAACTTGTAAATTTTTTCTCCACATAAACTTCCATATTCAGAAATTCACTAAGTTGTTCACTGGCATTAGCATGATTCTTAGAGAGGTTTGAGCCTATCAATTCAGTGACAGAAACCATAAGTTGCAGAGCAAAAACGAACGAGGACCTTCTCAACTTAATACAATTCTGAAAAACACCAAATCAATCGTGGCACTTACAGTAATCTTATGCACAGTTCCTGTATGTGTTCATAAGGCGGGCAGATAAGACTATCAACGTCAGCTGTCACATATAATTTTTCTCAGATGCGTTACACAGTAATGTTAGTTCGGTCGAAAACGATTATACTTATAATAGATAGAACTGTTTACGGCTGTGTATCAACACGTTATACAATATTTATAGACAGCCTAACGCTTAACTGCTTGAACCTAAATTTTATAAACAACAACCAACACCCATGTTCATCACCATCATAATTAGGGAAGTGAATCAAATGTAAACGGTCTTAGAGCTCTTTATGAATAAAACTTTGATTGCGGTCTATTTCGACTTGATAAACGGTGAATTTGACTTGCTTAAGTCTGCATTGTTACATTCACCCTGGTTGTGAGCAACAAACACATCAAGCTACTAATGAAATGAAAAAAAAAGATATGTAACAAGCACAAACATTACGAAAATTGACGTGTTAGTGCACAAATTGCTGTTAATAGCTGATAAATAACGACATACAAAATCCTTAACAATATATGTAACCTATATCTTAACGTCCTGACCGTGCCACGCTTTTACGATAACACTATTTGTGCTTAGACTGAGAACGGAACAAAATAATAATAATAATTTATTCTCAAATAACAGTCTGTTACATGAGGCATGCCAGTTTACAGGCAAGATCGAATTGATACAAATGACACAATATACACTGTAGTAAATTACATAGCTGGGTTGATAATTTATAAGATATGAATGTAGATGGATTTAGTCAATATCACAGTTGGCGCGCTTTATGAAAGTTGCGTTGCGAATGTGCGACTGATGGTCAAGGATAGGTCCATTGAAGGTGGGAGCTTCTAGAAATCGCAACCTTATGTCCCTTTGAAATGTCTAAGGCTTTTAGGATGGTGCAGGATAAAATCTTTCCTTCCATATCACATGGGGGCTGAAAGAGGGAGCAAGTAAAAGAAAGGACGAGAGGCAGAGTAGCCAATATTCATGAAGGAATGTTTAAGGTATGATCACTCAGTCTAATCTTCTTTTATTAAGGTATTTGTTAAGAAAGAGCATTTTAATAGGTTGAAGAAAATAAGTGTTAACAAGGTGTACTGACGCGCGCTATCTAAAAAGGACAGTGGTATTGTTTCTCGTTAAATTTTTAAACTGTTTTGATCGTAAATTACGTATCAAAACTACGATTTACACTTTAATTGAATCTACTCCAGTTAAGGTGATATTTTACCGAGTTTTTTTGGCTTTTGTGTATTTATTACATTCGAAAGCATTCTTGGTCTGTATCAAAGTACTTTAGTTAAGGTTTGACATCTTGCTAGAGTTTGTCTTGTGGTTCATACTGTGATCATATTGTGTGTTACACCTTGATCAGACTAAAATGGTTGGTAGTACCCACAAATGTGGACAACCAAACTGTTTGTCCCCTGTGGAGAAGGGAATGCAGTGTGACGAATGCAATAAATGGTTCCACAAAATGTGCAGCCGTTTAAGTCCCACTGCATATAAAAGATGTTCAAAGCCTAACTCACATTGGCTTTGCATGTTTTGCTGTGCCAACAAGGCATTGCTAATACAGGAGGCTATGAGCCTATTGGCTTTGGCCTGTAAGAAGAATGATGGCATATGGGCCGACAACACGGGCACTGATAGTGACGAATGTGTCAGTGTTGTTACGCGACGCCTCAAACAACCGACTCTGGCCAACGTAAAAGTGAAATCTTCGTTGATATTAACAGGGGGAGTAGTACCACCTAGTACTGACATTGTTAATAATGCACCTTTAGTGGGAACCGAAGATCTGGATAAAACAGTCACCGTTCCAAATAGTCCCAGTGTTATGAGGGATTAAAAATGGACTACGATACGTAGGAAACGAAACGAAAAGAAAAAAGCTGTAAGCAGTACACAGGTGGTTAGTAACTCACTGGTGGACTGAAATTGTGAGCCACAAATCGCACTACCAAGATCTGATCGTAAGAGTGAAACCCACCCTGGCGTAACTGAGAAGAAAAATCTAATAACATCGAATATTATTGTGAGCAAATTGCGGGAGTCAAATGACCCTGATCCGAAAGTTAGACACGCGCATGACTTGGAAAAGCTAGGAGAATACATTCGTAGTATTTTACCAGATAACTCCAAAGGAGTTCAGGTTAAAAAGTTGGTAAGAATAGGCAAGAGGACCGAGGACAATGTTGAACCCCGTCCATGCAGACTCCTTAAGGTAATCCTAGGATCGGAGAAGCAACGGGATCTCTTGTTAAGTAGCGCTCGTTGTCACGACAATTCTGACATCCGAGTTAGACCTGACATATCTCTCGAAGATAGAATAAAAAGGAAGAAAGCACTAGCTGAGCTTGAAACCCGTCGGCAAAACGGCGAGGAAAATCTCCGGCTAGTGGGTTTTCGGATAGTCAGGTCTTGGAAGCGAATGCTACCAAGGCCTGTGTGGATAGGCTGTTCTACTTAGGAGTTTTATATGCCAACGCTCGTAGTCTACGAAATAAGTTCTATGAACTAGAAGCACTAGTGGACAGGTTAAAGCCACTCATAGTAGCAGTGACAGAAACTTGGTTAGTCGATGACTTAGACATTACTCCAGAATTATCCGGATACCATTGCATCAGGAGTGATAGACATAGATGTAGGAAAGGAGGCGGCTTCCTGTTATACATAGCCAATAGCATAAATATCCGCTCCTCTACTAGCGAATCCCATGATAGCGGCACTTGTGAAGTCATTAGCTGTAAGTTGGCTATAGGATGTAGTACATTTATGCTAGGTGTCATCTATCGGAGCCCAATCTGCCTAGCTGATGACTTTGTTTTAGAGCACATTCATCTTTGGAGTGAAAATACCAGATGTTTGATAATAGGAGACTTTAACGCACCTGATATTAGTTGGACTGATATGACCACAGAAGGATCTATAAACTCCTTTGATAGTAAGTTCCTGATAACAATAATGGAGCATGCACTAGTACAGCATGTATCCCAACCCACACGTTTTGGTGTTAACCAGGGTTCTTCTCTGCTGGATTTGGTAATCACTCATGAGACTGAGGATATTGTCGACTTATATATTCTCCCGCCGTTAGTGAACAGCGATCACGCTGTTTTGTCATTCACGTTTCGAACTAGGGACATGTTATACGATCAGGTTACACCTCGCCCAAATGTATGGAAAGCTAACATATCAGCCATTCAGGAATGTGCTGCTAAGACAGATTGGTTAGTAGATACTAGCATATCAGTTGAAGAAGCATGGTCTGTATTTAAAGGTAAATTTAGACTAGTTACGTCCCCGTTCATACCATACCTGGTACCGCGAAGACCGAATAATAGTCCACCATGGATAACTAAAACGGTCAGGAAACTCCTTAGAAAAAGGAAGAATCACTGGAATATGTTCATCTCTACTGGCTTAGAACAATACAGATCCAGTTACTGTAAGATTAGGAATGCCTGTAAAGCGTTAATAAGTAAGACTAGACTATCATACGAAAAACAATTGGTTAGGGATTCTAGATATAGTCCGAAACGGTTATTCTCGTATATAAAAAGGCGAACTAAGAGAAGTGATGGAATTCCATCACTTTTGATACGAGAAAATCCGTTAATCTTAGCAGAGAATGATGCCGAAAAAGCTGAAGCTTTATCGGAATACTTTAGTAAAGTGTTTTCTATCGGTAATGAGGAACGACCAATGATTCGTCGCGACCGTGACGGCTCGCTGATGGATCCTGTAGTCATTGAGAAAGATACTGTTTTAAGGCTACTTCAGCATCTCAAACCTGATAAGTCCAGTGGTCCTGACGATATTCATCCTAGGATTATGAAAGCCATATCAGATGAAATTGCTGAACCATTAGCGATACTATTCGACATGTCTCTGAGACAGTCCAGACTTCCTAGAGACTGGAAAGACGCCATAATAAGTCCGGTGTATAAGGCTGGGGGTAGGGATTTAGTTAGTAACTATAGACCCGTTAGCTTAACTAGTGCAGTTGTAAAACTGATGGAGAAAATCATTCGGATAGCTGTTATAAACTATGTTGAAGGGCAAAATCTTTTCTCCAGGGAACAACATGGTTTTCGGAAAGGCCTATCTTGCTTGACAAATCTTCTCATTGCACGAGAAGATTGGGCTGCGGCAAAGGATCGGAATGCTCCTGTGGATGTGATTTTCATAGATCTAAGTAAAGCCTTTGATAAGGTTTCCCACTCTGGTCTTAAATTCAAACTGAAACGTTTTGGAATCCATTATACAGTCGTCGATTGGATAAGTAACTTTCTCCATGACAGGAGACAAAGGGTAAGGGTTAATGGGGCTCTCTCCTCGTGGGTACCTGTAAAAAGTGGGGTTCCCCAAGGTACAATCCTGGGTCCTCTTCTCTTTTTACTTTATGTAAATGAATTGCCAACTGTAGCAAAATCATCCGTTCTACTCTTCGCTGATGACATAAAGATTTGGAGACCCATACATAGCATGTCGGATAGGATAGTATTACAGGACGATCTTAGCTCATTGGTGGCATGGTTAGACAGGTGGTCACTAGAAGTAAATCCTAATAAGAGTGTAGTGATGCAGTTAAATAACTCTGATGAATCGTATGACTATACACTACGTGGATTCGTGCTACCCAAAGTAAGAAACTATAAAGATTTAGGAGTCATATTAAGCAATGATCTCAAAACGACTAGTCACTGTAAGGCTGCTGCTGCAAAAGGCTATAGGGTATTATGGTCAATTCGTAGGTCTTTCCAGTATTTAGATGATGAAATGTTTAGATTACTATACCCGATTTATGTGCGACCACATTTAGAATACGGGATTCAAGCAGCGTGTCCTTGTTTCAAATATGAAGCAGATATGCTAGAAAGAGTCCAACGACGAGCTACTAAGATGGTACAAGGTCTATCTGGCCTATCTTATGAAGACAGACTGAGACACCTTAACTTATTTCCGTTATCTTACCGTAGAATAAGGGGTGATCTAATATTGGCCTATCGTATACTGAACGATGACCTTGGTATTAACATGTCTTATCTTTTGCTTCCGTCTAGAACCGATCATTTGAGAGGACATTCGAAGAAAGTTCAAAAACCGAGATCAAACCGTTTACGTTTGGAGTTCCGTTTCTCGCACCGAGTAGTGAATTACTGGAATTCTCTACCGGAACACGTAATATCAGCACCATCTGTTAATATATTCAAAACGAGATTGGACCTCCACAGTATTACAAACTGCAAGGATTAATATAGGTCGACAGACCTCCTATCCTTATTACTGAAGACTGAGTGGACATACAACTGACAAATGGAGGCGATTCGGAAAGGAGCTGAGAGTATGGGATTATGTGTGATTATAAAATAAAATATAGTGCTAGAAACAGTATTGTGATATACAATTGGCTGTCTTCCTTTTCTATCGAAGCTATTAGAGTCCCTTTCTTTTTTTGTATTATATTTTTCAGGTATTATGGAGTCTTGAGTAGCGCGCCGACTGTCATATTGACAATACGGATCTTACTGATATTTTTCGCATTCATATGAAAGAAGCGTTATACCGCACAACTTACTGATCGATGTACCTTATAAAATATCAAACTGAGTAACCTACCACAGTGAAGACTGTATCTTCTGTAACAATTTGATCTTGCCTGTAAACTGGCACGCCTCATATAACAGACTGGTATTTAAGAATAAATTATTATTATTAATTGTTATAGTTGAGATGGTACGGGAAATCGTGGAAATTAATATAGACCACAATAACTGCGTATCCCGGTCTTTGGTGTTACTTGGAATTTCCTCTCGGATGATCGTTCTTAAATGGAAACAGTGTTAGAAGTCTCGACCCGTCTTTTTATAAAAGGCTAGAGAACCCTTTCACTATTTTGATCTTTCACCGTTGGACTTGGTCTTGCCGACCTTATATTCTAGATGCAGCCACAGGTAATGAAATAAATTACCGACACCATATAAGGTCCTGAGGAATTTTATAGAGGCAGCCTTCCAGAGACGTGTAATTTTTAGCTCTTTGCTCGTTATGACTCCAAGATGTTTATAGTTCATTACTTAATGTAATACAACTTCACTTGTTCCGTAGTGATATGGGTTGTCGTAGTTGCTTATTTTCATCACCACACTTTTCAACTAGCTGTCAACGACTGCCTATGAATTAATACAACTAGTGCGTTTATATCGTTATGTAATATAACTCTATCTGCTGTAGTGTGTAGGTCTTCAAATCTTGATATCACCTGCGGAAAATATAACACATGGTTGCTACAGTTGGTACGCCACATACACAAAGGATTATGTATTGCAGAATTCTATTTTTAACCGATTCCGCATTCTTAATGCCCCGTTTAAGCTACGCTAGATGATACTAAGTGTAAATGTACAACATTCAGAAGTGAGTTCACATCTGCGACTTCACAAGCTCGACAACCCTGAGGTAAAATATCAGAGGAACGGAATTTCGTATTAATAACTACGTGTATAAAGACAACAATCTACTCTCTGTATCTATTCCCATCACTCCTTGAGTTGTTATTGTTATTATTTACGAACAGCTTATCGATATATAAGTGTTGTATATGTTAATCCTGGAGTGACGCCAAAGTCATAGACCATGCAAGTTTTGGTCAGAGCTACGGTGAGTGGCACTGATTCGTCCACTAAATGCTCTCAGTTCATAGAATTTATTTATTGGGTCAGAAGCGGCTGCATTTGGAACTCCTAGAGAGAAGGAGTTATCAATGCAGGCCTTATTGGCAATCAATTCGAAAGCCTATTCCACATTTAACGCAGAGAAAACCCAACGATGGGGAAGGTGGAAAGAGTGAATTAGAGTTGATCGGATGGCATGACTCGGCCTTGCAGGCGTGGTCCCTGTTGAATGTTACCTTATATCTCCTGTTTGCATCAAATATATTGTTTTATCTCTGGTCTAAGCTTGTTCTTTATCATATATCGGTGATTGTTAAGATGCAATGAGTTGGTGTAGACGATGATGTGACTTCCACGTAAGATCATATAGATTAGGCAGTTACACCATGAGAAATCTACAATTTCTGGGATTGGGTCTATTACTAGCGAAGTACTACAAATTCGATCTCCATCTGTCGCTTCGAAAAGCTTGTTTTACGTGCGCTTATCCAGGGACCCTGTGGCATCTTCGTCTGGTCTTGCTGGCGTTGGTATCGCACTAAGCGCTAGAGCTGAGGCAGCACTAGTTGATTGGATCCCCATTAACAGTCGGTT